GAAGCTTCCTGTCTGCTCTACACGACGGCCGCGGAAGCTTAGTATCCGCGCTACATACACGGCGGCCGCGGAAGCTTAGTATCCGCGCTACATACACGGCGGCCGCGGAAGCTTAGTATCCGCGCTACATACACGGCGGCCGCGGAAGCTTAGTATCCGCGCTACATACACGGCGGCCGCGGAAGCTTAGTATCCGCGCTACATACACGGCGGCCGCGGAAGCTTCCTGTCTGCTCTACACGACGGCCGCGGAAGCTTAGTATCCGCGCTACATACACGGCGGCCGCGGAAGCTTCCTGTCTGCTCTACACGACGGCCGCGGAAGCTTAGTATCCGCGCTACATACACGGCGGCCGCGGAAGCTTCCTGTCTGCTCTACACGACGGCCGCGGAAGCTTAGTATCCGCGCTACATACACGGCGGCCGGAAGCTTCCTGTCTACTCTACACGGCGGCCGCGGAAGCTTAGTATCCGCGCTACATACACGGTAGCCACGGAAGCTTCCTGTCTGCGCTACATACATGGCGGCCGCGGAAGCTTCCTGTCTGCTCTACACGACGGCCGCGGAAGCTTAGTATCCGCGCTACATACACGGCGGCCGGAAGCTTCCTGTCTACTCTACACGGCAGCCGCGGAAGCTTAGTATCCGCGCTACATACACGGCGGCCGCGGAAGCTTCCTGTCTGCTCTACACGACGGCCGCGGAAGCTTAGTATCCGCGCTACATACACGGCGGCCGCGGAAGCTTAGTATCCGCGCTACATACACGGCGGCCGCGGAAGCTTCCTGTCTGCTCTACACGACGGCCGCGGAAGCTTAGTATCCGCGCTACATACACGGCGGCCGCGGAAGCTTCCTGTCTGCTCTACACGACGGCCGCGGAAGCTTAGTATCCGCGCTACATACACGGCGGCCGCGGAAGCTTCCTGTCTGCTCTACACGACGGCCGCGGAAGCTTAGTATCCGCGCTACATACACGGCGGCCGCGGAAGCTTCCTGTCTGCTCTACACGACGGCCGCGGAAGCTTAGTATCCGCGCTACATACACGGCGGCCGGAAGCTTCCTGTCTACTCTACACGGCGGCCGCGGAAGCTTAGTATCCGCGCTACATACACGGTAGCCACGGAAGCTTCCTGTCTGCGCTACATACATGGCGGCCGCTGAAGCTTCCTATCTGGCTTCCTTCTGTAACTTATTTCTCTATTGATCTCCCCACCCCCTCATCAACCCCCATCCCTATTGCCTTTATTGAGCAAAGCACAATTATATGTTCGACCCCAAGATTTGTCATTAAGAATTCTTTTAAAAATGTGATACAGTTTAAAAGTCACCTCAAAATAGGGACTTTGCTTTATAGTCTCCAACTCTCAAAGAAGAAAGTTAACAATGGGTATCCGTGACACCCAATGTGCTGGGCCAGCTTCTTTTCTTACTTCAATGTCTACCTTAAAACAACCTAGGTTATGCGAGCATATAGTTAGACTCATGTCCCAGGGTTCCACGACAATAGCTTTATTTTAACAAATGACTAATAAGTTGGGTTGCCTTTGTCTTGTGGATGCTGAGGCACTTCAGCCACAGATGCTCAATGCCACCTTACTGACCAGCTTTCTTTCTAGCTTAGACAACTGACTCAGTATTTAAAACTACAGGCTAGGAAAGTCATAAGCTTGTCGCATATTTATTTAAACAATGGCAACAAAATGAACTGGATGCTAACTAATGAGATACCAAAACAAAGAAAAAACAATCCCTAAGTTAGGCCATCCAGCAGAACACATAAGAAAATAAAAAATATGCTACTAAGGAAATCTATGACAGCCAGTAAGCCACACTCAAAACTGATAATTGGGAGACTCCAAATAAAAGCCTTTCCCATCAAAACAATGTTAATTCCCAATTCAAAGCAGCTGCACAATTACTGAGAGTACACAGACCACCAAATACAAAGAAAAGGTGAGCCCAGGCAGTGATTTTCTAAGCATGATCTGAAGTTTATAAAGATCCTCTAGAACTTCAGTCTTGTCTAAAATCTGGGTGCTCATGTCTGGATTCAGTTCTGAGCCGGAAAAAGGCAAAAAATGGAAGCAATTGGGAGTATTTTATTCTTAAAGTGAGCTTAGTGCTGAAAAATGTCAACTGCCATATGAGAACAGTGGGTCGTGTTATCACAATGCTGGCCATTGGCCTGCCACTGACAACTTGAATAACCAGATTTTAAGGTTGGCTGACTCTGGCCCAAGGTAAGAGAAGCTGCCTCCACTCAAGTGGAAGACATATATTGGAGAGTGGAGAGTATTTTGGGCAGCGGTGTCTAATCTTTCCGCTTCCCTGGGCCACACTGGAAGAACTGTCTTGGACCACACATAAAATAACACTAATAACAGCTGATGAGCTTAACAAAAAAGAAATCACACAAAATCTCCTATTTTAGGAAAGTTTACAAATTTGTGTTGGGCTGCATTCAAAGCTACCCTCAGCTGCATGTGGCCCATGGGCCATGGGTTGGACAAGTCTGATTTAGGACATATGAAAACAGGGGGATACCTTGTCTGTAGCTACACCTGCAGTGAAAAGCTAAAGAACCGATGGCCTGAAACGGCGGTCCCCAACCTCTTTGGCACCAGGAACCAGTTTTGTGGAAGACAACTTTTTCCAAGGATGGGGGTAGGAGGTGGGGTGGGGATGGTTTCGGGATGATTCAGCACATTACATTTACTGTGTGCTCTATTTGTATTACATTGTAATATATAATGAAAAAATTATACAAGGCACCACAATGTATAGTCAGTGGGAGCCCTGAGCTTGTTTTCTTGCAACTAGATGGTCCCATCTTGGGGTGATGGGAGACAGTGACAGATCATCATGCATTAGAGTCTCATAAGGAGCTTATGAGACTCCCTCGCGTGCACAGTGCACAACAGGGTTCTCGCCCCTATGAGAATCCAATACTGCCGCTGATCTGATAGAAGGCAGGGCTCACTGGTAGTAAGGCAGCCAATGGAAAATGGCTTTAAGTACAGATGAAGCCTTGCTTGCTCACTGCTCCCTGCCTCCCCATCCCTGCTCCCCTTCCCAGGGTTCTTAACAGGTCAAGGACCTGTACCCCCAAAGTGCTGGGGTTACAGGCATCAGCCACCATGCCTGGCCTATGATCTCTCTTTCAACTGCTCCTCAGATCCAACTGAATTATTTCTATCAATGAGGATGAGAGGGACTTACCACTGTTTCTCAAGCTGAGGACTAAGACAAGATTCAATAGAAGCAAAATACAACCATCTTTTAGTTGTTTAACCAGATTAGTACATACTGAAATACTTTTTTTTAAAAAAGGGGGAAAAACAGAATTAACCATCTACCAAAGCTAACAAAATGAAGACAACAAAGACTATCCAATATCAGAGTCTTAGAGTCCTCAAGTGTTCATTTAGAAAACTGCACAGAGTAAAAGAATTACATAATTTTCAAATTAGTAACTTACTGATTATAATGGCAGTCTTCACATTTGTGCTTTAAGTGTTTTAATGACATAAAGTTTATATTTGAGTACAGATGGTCTTTTGTCATCAAGGCCACACATTACAAGTCTGAAGAAGCATGTGAGTGCCCTCTAAAATTTTGTGAAAGAAAACAAACAAAAACAAAAAAAATCAGTGCCCAAGAGTAAACTCAGCACTGGCTCAAAACATCATCTGCCTTTTTCTTGCTCTCTCCCACATCTCAACTATCCTAGACTCAAACAATTTTTTTTTACACAAATTCAGGCTTTATATTTAGAGGATGTGTAGTGTACTGGTGGAATCAAATTCATACGTTCAAATTCTCATTCTGCCACTAATGAGCAGAAAGACTAACATAAACTATTAGGTTGATGCAAAAGTAAGTGCGTTTTTACTATTACTTTCAACGGCATAAACATACTTAGTCTCTATGTTGCTCATTTCTAAAATAGAAACAGTAACGGTATATGTGTAGAAGGTTGTCATGAGAAGACTTCATCTATATGAAGCATATAGAGCTCAGTAAGCACCTTATTCAATAAGCGTTGATACTAATTTATAATCATTAATATTCTTAAATTTTCTAATACTTAGCCCAATATTTCCTTATGACATGATCTTTTTCCATCCTAATTCAGTCAACAAATTAGTTATCCTCTCTTTTCTTGCCATCCATAAGTTCAAAAACTTGCCGTGGGATTATCACAGAAGCCAACACCATCCAAACTAAACAGGCTACAATCAAACCCTACAATGTCAGTAATGGTAGTTCACTCACTAATCATCTCTGGGTATTCCTTTGCAGTACAAAGTATTTGCAATTACATAAAGCCTCACAGTGTTACTGGAAGAAAAGGCAGTGTAAGTATTTACATACACATTTTAGTTTTTCAGAAAGAGAAATGGAGTCTCAAAGGCTGAACGATATCTACATGTAATAGCAGCACTTTGATACTTCCGTTTTTCAACTAATAAGCAAGTTAAATTGCCCTATGCATTTCAGAGGAAATTCAAGGACAAAGATGTATAAATAGAATCTATGCGCTGAAGAACAATGCTAATCAAACATAATTAATCAGTATTATTTGCACAGAGATCATGGTATACAGTAGCATAAAGTATACTGACTTCCATTAGAATTGCTGCTTCATAGGTGAAGGGAAAATCCACGTATTTGGGCAAATTTAAATGTACAGCATTAATACACTCAAAACAATCTTAAGAAATTTCTACGATTATATCATACTAATGAAAATTATCCAGCAAATACCGTCTTTCTCCCATAGCCTCCCTGCCCCATGTACCCACCCAAGACTCCGAAAAGATGTTCTGAAATGCGTTTTAAATAAGATACGCCTTTAAAAAACACACACACAAAAGCACCATTTTGCATTGTTACACATTTGACGTTAAACGTTCCACAAACAAGGCTGTGAATAATCAGTTTCAGCATCATTGTCTGTATGCTTACAAACATGTTATTTTCCTGTGTAGCTTACCAGAATCACTGTTTATCAAGACACCAAGGGGATCTGCATTTGCCTCAGGTGGACTGGCCGGCTTCAACTCACTCGAGTGACTGCCTGGTCCAGTGACTGCTCTCTGTCTAGCACTGCCGTTTTTCCATCTGTGATTCTTGCCGGGACTTCTGATCTTTGCCACTTGTGAATGTCTGGACATCCCCTTCATCTTGCTGGAGTAAGAAAATTGCAATTCTTAATATAAAAGGCACTGACCTTCCAAGAAAATTCTGAAAAAGACTACTGGATTCAAAAGAAATCTAGTTGTAAAATTGATCACTTGTAGCCTACCTAGTACATTAAAGACCAAAATAAAAGAATTCCAGTGACTTCCAAAGACAGAGAAGCTTATGGCAGAACTTGAGAAGGACAATACCCCACACAATATCCCACACGTTATTGATTCTAGGCTGCAAATTTCTACCTAAGTTGTTATCCTGAAATTGGGCCGTGTCGTATTATCATTAAAGGCCAATTTCACTGGCAGCATTCTTTCATTCTTCTATTGTAAACAAAAGCGTTTCTTAGAGTTTATAAAGTATGTTCACTCTTGTCTATTCTTTTTTTTTTTTTTTGAGATGGAGTCTTGTGCTGTTGCCTAAGCTGGAGTGCAATGGCTCACTTCAAATTCTGCCTCCTGGGTTCAGGCGATTCTCCTGCCTCAGCCTCCCAAGTAGCTGGGATTGCAAGCACCCACCATCAGCCTGGCTAATCTTTGTATTTTTGTAGAGACAAGGTTTCATGTTGGCAAGGCTGGTCTCGAACTAACCTCAGGTGATCTGCCCGCCCCAGCCTCCCAAAGTGCTGGGATTACAGGCGTGAGCCACTACACGCAGCCTTGCCTACTCATTTGAAGCTTCTGAAGCATTTACAAGTATGTCTTGACTTTCTGAAGCATTTATAAATATGTTGTTTGACCTTCATGAACCCTGTGAAATAGGTAAGACAGGTACTATTTTCTCTACTTTACAGGCCTATCACAATACACGGGCCTATCGCAATACACACAGGTCTATCACAATACACGGGCTGATCGCAATTTCACAGCCAGATCAAATCAAATGCCCTCTCAACAGCTGCAACTACTTATAAACAAAAAGCAAGTATCGGCCAGGTGCAGTGGCTCACACCTGTAATTTCAGCACTTTAGAAGGCCAAGGTGGGTGGATCACTTGAGCTCAGGAGTTCTAGACCACCCTGGGAACATGGTGAAACCTCGTCTCTACAAAATACAAAAAGTAAGTCAGGCATGGTAGTAGCAGGCACCTGTAGTCCCAGCTACTCGGGAGGCTGAGGCACGAGAACTGTTTAAGCTCAGGAGGTGGAGGGTGCAGTGAGCCAAGATTGTGCCATTGCACTCCAGCTTGAGCAACAGCGAGAGACTCCATCTCCAAAAAAATAAAAGGAAAAGAAAGCAAGTACTTTTGTGAGCATCTTTTAACTTAAACTGTGTGGGGCGGGAGGTGCAGGAGACAGTTAAAAAAAGGTTCCCTCGTGGTAGACAACAACACAAGGTATTCTTCATTCTTTGTTGGGACTGTGTTTTCACAAAGACAGGCTTTGCGAGTTTGCCATTTATCAGGCAAATTTTATTTTTCCTTAATAATGGAGGCTGCAGTAAATAGATTAATTAGAAATCCGCATCTAAATCTCAATTTTGTCACTTACAGGCTGTGTCTGTTATAAATATTTGTATGCCTAAACCTGTTTACTCTTTTAAACAGAATGGGAATCACAGGGGCGGGGCATGGAGAGAATTAAGATAATATAAATATAGTACTTCACAGAGCAAGGTAACACATGAAGACCTTAATAAAGTTTATTATCATAAAAGTTTTGAAATAATTTGTTAAACCAAGATGATTAATTTATATCTCTGCAATTCCGAGATTTTTAATTCTTTTAGGGTCACAATAACCCTCGGAGAATCTCATTATAAAAATTAATATATATAGTCCAAATTGTGCAGAAAGCCATGGACCAATCTCCACTATCCACCCACAGATGTCAGGCTAAGAACCCAACAGTGTCACTGCAAAGAAAAGAAGTATAGCTTCTGCCTCTGGCCCACTTGGCCCCATGAGGATAATGAAGAGGTGCCACTTTCCTTGGGCTCCCATTCACAGATGCCTTCCCGGTGTCTTTTCTCTTACAGCATGTGACCACAGCTAGCTTCTGAATGATCATTAAGGTATTCACTAATAAATACTAAGTTAGGAAGATCCCTCAGTAATGACATCTATGAGACTTAATTGAGAAAGTAGTATATCTGGAACTAGCACTCTATTTCACCTTCAAGGGAATAGTCCTGTTATATCATGACTTGACAATCATTTGAAAAGAAAAGTTCATTTAATCAACCACCTAAAAATAGTTTTAAAAGGCATAATGTAAATACAAATGTAGATGTACATAAAATGGAGAGATTAAGGAATAATTTTAACTAAAAAGCTAATTGAGAGTAAAATAGAATACTAAAAAAAAAACCATGCAAAAGAAGGCAAGAAAAGAACAAAGAACAAATTAAAAACCCAACCATATTAGGAATTACATTAAATGAAAATGAACTAAGCACTAGTTAAAAGGCATGGATTTCAGTTTAGATACCAAGGAAAAGACAAAATTATACAACATATAGGTGATACACTCTAAATATAAAAAGTTTAAAAGGAATAGGTTGTTGACAACATGACCCTTTCTCCACCACATTATATTGCCAGGTTTATCGTAAGCCAGGTGACTGCTTCTCAGTGGACCTGTTTGTGGGCTCTATCCTGTTCTATTTGCCTATCTGTCTTTCGCCAACACCACGTTATCGTTATTACTCTAGCTTTCTTAGTGGCTGCTCTAGAGCCTCTGTATTTTCATATGCAATCACCCGCCACATAATGACATTCTGTTCAACAAGGGACACATACATGACATAGTCCTAGAAGATTATAGCGAAGCTAAATAATTCCTAGTAATGTCATAACATCATAAAAAATTACTTTCACAAAATAACTTAGTGTAGCCTATGGGTACAAAGTTTGTAATGTCTACAGAAATGTACAGTAGCATCCTAGGCCTTCACGTTCACTCACCTCACTCACTGCCTCACCCAGGGCAACTTCAGTCCTGCAGGTTCCATTCATGGTAAGTGTCCCACTCAGGTGTACCTTTTTACCTTTTTACCTTTAATGGGATAGTTTTACAGACACTTTTCTATATTTAGATACACAAATACTTAGCATTGTGTTACAACTGGATACAGTAACACATTGCACAGGGATGTAGCCTAAGAGCAATAGGCTTTACTGCACAGCCTAGGTATGTAGTCGGCTGTATTCTCTAAGTTTGTGGAAGTACACTCTACGATGTTCATAATCACAAAATTGCCCAATACATTTCTCAGAAGGTATCCCTGTCATTACACTTGATGACAACTGTAATTGTAAAGCTTATCAATGTCCCCTCTCCCTCTTCCACCAAAAAAACAATGAAAAAAAAACCTTGCTGGAATTTTGACTGTAACCAATTTGGGGAAGAATTAAGATAATGACATTGTTTTCCAGCCCATGAATATTACATACTGCTCCATTTATTCAGGCCTTGACTTTTTCTGAGCAATGTTTTGTAGTTTTGAGTGTAGAGTCTTGCAAATCTTTTGTTAGGTTTACTCCCAGGCATTTGATGCTATTTTAAATGGTATCTTTTAAATTTTCACTTTTTAATTGTTTGTTGCTACTTTATAGAAATAGAGTTGACTTCTTAAATATTGATCTTACATGTATTTGGCAACCTTGCTAAATTCATTTATAAAAGTGGTAACATTGGACATCCTTATCATGCTTCTAATATCAGGGGAGCAGGTATCTCTGGAAGGATGCAATGGATCGCCTCTGGGAAGGAAACTAATTAGCTGGGGGACAAAGATTCAAAGGTCTCAATTATTTATTTTTTGAAAACCACGAATATAGGGTAATCCTTATTTTAAGATATAATTATCAGTGCTATCGGGTTGGTGTCAAAAAAGTAATTTTTTTTAAAGTAAGTTACAAAAGCAAAGATTTTAGAATTGAGTACATAAAGATTTTAAGATTCTGATTTGTCATAAGCATAGGAACTTACCCATACTGCGTTGTTGTCAATACTGCTCCTCTCTTTTCCTTTTCAAGTTTTAACTTTTTCTTCCTTTCAATATTGGCCAGAGTTGGATAGTTTCTAGAGAATAATAGAAGTTAATTATAATAGAGCGTTTAGAGTGCAACTTTAAATAAGCAATCAAGAAACTGCCAAATTTAGCAATTTTGTGTAACAACCAATACAACAAATCATTACAAACCTTTAAGTGTGTCTACAATTTTTTAAGAGGTGAAAAAAGTACATTATAACAGTGTTACTGAAAGTGTGGACCAGCTGCTGATCCACTAATTTTGCTAGCACTCTGCAACTAGGTAAGGAGTGTGCCCCAGAATTTAAATCAAATATATCATACAATGTACTCAAACTGATCTAATTCATCTATTTGGCATGTACCTATAAATACTTTAAGAAAAAAATGTAAGTCTATTCAATTTCTTATGTAAATACATGCTAGGTCTATCAAAGTTACCAAGATGAGGAAAAGACAGTTCTGAAAATACAGTCTACCAGGACAACAAGAAAAGCACACAAACAGCTAAAACATGAGACAAAAGTACCCAAAAGGGTATAAAGATTTGGACAGTGGAAGGGTAAGATTATATTTAATTGGAAAAATCCATAAAGAAAAGAAATGAAAGAAATCGATCTCAAATGGTAACAGAAATCAGAGTGCGCTAAGTAGAGCAAACAATGCAAACCAAGACTTCAGAAAGTGAAAAAGGCCAGGCGTGGCGGCTCACACCTGTAATCCTAACACTTTGGGAGGCCGAGGTGGGTGGATCACTTGAAGTCAGGCGTTCGAGACCATCCTGGCCAACATGGTGAAACCCCACCCGTACTAAAAATACAAAAAATTAGCCAGGTATGGTGGCAGGTGACTGTAATCCTAGCTACTCAGGAGGCTGAGGCAAGGGAATAGCTTGAACCCAGGAGGTGAAGGTTGCAATGAGGTGAGATCGTGCCACTGTACTCCAGCCGGGGCAACAGAACAAGACTCTGTCTCACACACACACACAAAAGAAAGAGGTATCTGGAGAATGGTAGGTACTTAATATGGTATGAAACACAGTAACAGGCAATCAGACTGGAAAGGGAGACACAGGCCAAAATGTGCCTGGAATACCACACTAGAAAGTTTATATTTAATTCAGCAGGTGATGGAGAGCCATAGAAAGTTATGAACAGGGAGAGATATATACAAGGCAGTGATTAAGATGAAATCTGACGGAAGTATGCAAGATGAATTGCTTTATTTTTCTGCACAACTGTGTGGACACCAAACTGTCAGGGTGAGGGCAATAGATTCTAGTCATATAAAAAAACACAGGAGGGGAACACAGCTCTCTACTACTCAGTCTGGCTGCTGATCAAAGTAAATTTTGAGACACACCAACAAATGTGTTCTGCCATTGCTTCCAGGACACTTTTTCCTTTTCTTAACATTTGCATTACTGACTTGAATAGCACAGACAATATACAAAGCCTATGGGTGGGCCACACTGAAAGACAGCAATGGAAATGTCATTGGGCAAGAGGTTAAGTCATCAGAAAAAAACGCAATGAATTTCAATGAGGACAGTGTGAAGCAATATATATCCAGTCAAGAAAAATAGACTCCATAAATAAAAGATGATGAATGTACAAACTATAAATAAACATAAGAGGAAAAGATCAAGGTCATAGGAGATAAAAATCTGACAGCCAGTCAGGAACACATGACTGCATTTTTGGAAAGCAAGTATCAGCTAAGGTTATATGAAGTAGACTCTGGCACTTGCACGAGTGTGAAATCTTCCCAGGATACTCAAAAGTAGTCAGATACTCTCAGGGACCGTGTCCAGTTTCGTGCTTCTAAACTAAAGGAATGTGGAGGGGAAAAAAAAAGACTTGGAAAGGATTCAGAAGAGACTCAAAGATGATTAATAGGATGAAAAATAAAACCTCCAAAGAAAGATGAAAGAAGCCATTTACAGCCTTTAAAAGAAGATGAGAAGCTATAAGAAAAACGGTTTCACAGAGAGGATTGGTCCAGTGGTTCTCAAGCTGAAGAGAATATGCACAAGTAGAAATGAGAATACAGTGACGACTTTGACAGCCCCACAGTGGCAGGACATGTGACTCACAGCTACTGAACATCCTCCACAACTCTCAAAACTTCCTATTGCTTACATTTCTTCAGCATTTTTGCAGACTAATGCAGACTCTTACCATGTTGGGCCATATGCTACATGAGGCGCCAGAGAGCCGATGCTAAGTAACTGCTTTTCAATGGGAAAGAATTTAAACTTGTTATAGCAATTGGACTTTAAATAAGATATAAGAAAGAATTCCCTAAATGAAACATCAAAGATGTGTAGAAACGCCTTCGGCGGAAACCGAAGGAGTTTCTACAGCTAATTTTAAAACAGCTAATTTTCTCTTTCTGGGAGACAGCAGTATCATGTTCCTGAAGGTGAGGAAATTCGTCTTCCTAAAACCAAGCATCATGTTCCTAAAGGTATTAAGATTGGAGTTAAAACAGAGGTAGAAGATTTCATTTTTCTTGGTGCTAAAATAAATAAAATCCTCTCCCAAAATTTATTCCATTCTTATTTACACAGAATCCATAGATTTAAAACTAGGGGGAAAGAAAAGTTGATAGAAAGCAAATTATCCCAAAAAAGAGAAATCAGAAACACAAGACCTAGTTACACACATAAACAACAGGAGGAAGCCCCACTCCACCAACGCAAGGCTGAGATAAATGAATACGGAAAAGGAAGGAGCTCTGATGAAGGAGTTCAGGTTTCTAAAGCACGAGAAGTAACAAATCCAAAAACTACTGAAAAAACACAAATTAGGTCTTGTATTGCAGTTACACGTATGTAAAACTTGGCCCACATCCCCTGCTAGAGAATGGGTAATATGAAGTTATATAACTTCATAGCTGTGACGAGAAAAATGTTCAGTTGGCTTCTCTGTACTTTTACCTACTAAAATTATTTTCTCCCTGTACTTCTGTCTTTCCCCAGTTCACTAAAAGGAAATGGTCTTGAAACCATGCTCTTTTCCTTCCTCTCTTCTCTCTCATTTTTACCTCATCTTGACCTTCTGCATTGCCTATACCCTGCGCCCGCAGTGACAGTCTTTAAGCACTAGAAAGCCAACGCATGGGCAAACCGTGCTAGCCACTATCTTAGCACAGACCATTCTGGTCACATTATGCTCTCCGATTTTTTCCTTATGCACAGATCATGACCATTTATTGGCTTTTCCCCTCTTCCCACTTTTACTGAACCACAACTGCTTCCACACGAGCTACAGTGTTGTACTTTTCTTTCTTTCTGAACATCAAAGAGATGCAGCATTCTTTAGGAGCAGCTCTCCTGGACCGGAATTCTGCATGAACCAGGGAAACAAAAGGACTTCCTCAGACCCACAGGAAGCGTTGAAATAAATTGTAAAACTGCTCCACCTAGTGGACTCCCAGTCTGCTGTGGAAAATGTTCCACCATTTCTGTAATAAAAGCAAGGTTTTGGAAACAAATCACCGCTCATTTTCCGTAAAGCCAAATCATACAGCACTGGTACTGCACAGTTCAGAAATTAAGAAAGAACCACTTTTTTTAGTGGCTTTTCGGTGGTTGGGGTGGTGGTGGTAGGGAAAGCAGATTATTAGTGGAAAGCCTTCAAAGTTATTAAATTAAATACAGTGGGTACCTCTGAGTTTGATTAACCTGAAAAATACGGAGATGAAGAAATAGACAAAGATGCACTTTTGTTAAAGATAAGGAAGCCACATGCGAAGCAGACCTTTACAATCTTCTTCAAGCTTTGAAATTCTTACTCTGTGAAATCTCTCACAAGCATTTTCTAACATAGCAGTTACATAAAGACTTTATTTTTCCTGCATGTCAAAGAATATAGTGGCTTCCTCAGAAAGAATGTAGCTCTCACAGAAAGATTGAATTCATAAAATAAGGACTATTCGGCCATACCAATGTGGCATTACTCTTTTTAGGAGTTCAAGTAATACTTTTAAAAATTGAGAATGACAGAAGTGTAGAAAGTAAGTATATTTTCATAACAAGGGTATTGTTTGTTTTTTTGTTTTCTATTGAGACAGAGTCTCACTATGTTGCCCAGGCTGGAGTGCCGTGGCGCAATCTCGGCTCACCGCAACCTCTGCCTCCCGGGTTCAAGCAATTTTCCTGCCTTAGCCTCCCAAGTAGCTGGGACTACACACGCATGCCACAATGACCAGCTGATTTTTGTATTTTTACTAGAGACAGGGTTTCACCATGTTGGCCAGGCTGGTTTCAAACTCTTGACCTCAAGTGATCCGCCCACCTTGGCCTCTGAAACGGCTGGTAGGGACAGTATTTGTGTACTTTTGAGAAATCTATCAAATGTACCAAAAGAAGAGCAACGTTTCCCATATCTTCTATTAATAAAATATTCATATAGGAAAAAAATGAAGACTTCAGAATATATTAAAGAGCAAGAACCCGAGAAACAAAATATGGAAGAACCTCAGATGAACTGAGCCAGTGCCCAAAGAAATTCCCGAGCACTTACTAACAAGGCAACCTCACAGGTACAAATAAACCTCAGCCAGCATTGTCATTCTCACCCATTTCCTCATTCCCTTTAAACACCTCTAAATTTCACAAACCTGTAACTTCACCTATTCCCTCAACAGACTTTGCCCATTCCCCTTCCAAGGCACTGTGCCTGCTGTCACAGCATACCTCTGGGAACCAGAGTTAGACTCTATCCCCTCTGCCTCCACTACATTAAAACAATCACCAACAAGCCTATTAAACACTTGCTCAAGCCAGTCTTTTATTCAGAAGGACAGAGCTGCTTCCAAAATTCACTTACAGTTTTGGAATTCCGCTGTGCCACCAAGCACTAAAGCAGCCCTGCTAATTGTCTATTCTCCCCCATTTCTTAACAGTTTTGTTTCGGTCTCCCCGTCGACTCCACTGCCACTGGAGGTGGTCAAGCAACCCACCTCTAGCCAGTGAGATCCATATAAATATCCCCTGGTTGGAACTAAAAACAAAGCTATTGTTTTCTCAATGAAAGGGGAGCAACTAGGCTACATGTACCTTTGCCTTTTTCTCTTCTTTCTGCCTACAATGTGGCGTAATATTTGCATATGAAAGAACCTTCTGGTGACAGGCAGGAGGACAGCCGCGTGCTAAGGAGCAACAGAGACGGCCTAGGTCATGGTACCATCATGCAGCAACAGCAGCCTTGGGTTTTGTTTTGTTTTTCTAAACCTTGGGAAAACGACACCTGTTTGCACTAAGCCATGGTTAAAGCTCCCATTCCATTTCCTAGAGCGTGACTAGTTGATGCAAGCACCACTGCACCCTACCGCCCCTTTAATCTGAATACTTTCGTGCTCAAAATGGCGTCTCTGGATTTAAAACATCCTCCTAAACTGTTCGGCAGTTTCGCATAAAGTTAAACATATGCTCACCATATGACCAACCAACCCCACTCCTGGATATTTACCCAAGCCAAATAGAACCCTATATTCAAAACAAAAACCTGCAGATGAACGTTTATGAAGACTTTATATAAAGGCTAAGACTGGAAACAACACCCAAGTGGGAATGGAAAAACAGACCGATACATCCACACGATGAAAAGAGCAACACTCAGCAATCAAAACAGCAACTGCTACACGTGACAACTCTCCAATGCAGACTAAAAACATGTGAGTCAGGCTAAAAGGTCCACACACTGTATGGTTCCATTACGTTTCTGCAAGGCATGAATATAAGAACAAAAAACAAATCAGTGGTTGCCAGTGGGTGAAGGGGAGGCTGTCATCAGAGCATAAGGCAATTTTTCCAGGTGAAGAAACACTGTTCTGTATCATGATTCTGGTGGTATTTATATGAGAGCATACATTTGTCAGGACTATCCACTTAACAGGGTGAATTTCACTATACGTATAATACACGTTAAGACAAAGTGGGGGAGGGAGGCACATCACCTCTTATACGAAGCCTTGCAAACAAATTGACCACCCTGCCCTCCAAAAACTCAAATATCCCTTGACCAGTCAGGATTATCCCTACATGGCTAAAATGAATGCTTCGGCTACTTGTGGTCTTATGGCCACCTTATGTATATTTGCTCATTTCACACTACAGTGAGAATCCTAAAGGCAGGTTACTTGTGTCTGTTTTCCGGGAACTCAGCCACATACAGCAAAATCTTCGTTCTTTCAAATACCGAATGTTTACCTCTAATTTTCAAACTATTGTCAAGAGGTTATTCAAAGATAAGCATGTCTATTAACATATATTGAAAGGTTGCTGAGTTTTCTTGCTAACATTAGAAAACCAAACTACTCTTCTACCAGGAACTTTATATAAATACATGCTGCCTAAGCTAGTTTTCATCTTCAAATATTAATCTTCCTCAAGTTTCTCTCGCCAGTGGGAACGTTTGCCTTTAATCACCTGTTGCACGAAACTACAAGGGGGCGTAGTTCCCACTCGCATAGGGAAAAGCCACGAATACGTTAAAATACTGATCAATCTTCTTTGTCTCGGTGATGGTCTACCCTCTGTACTGAGAATTTCATGTTCAAGGCCATAGCAGTTTAGGTGCTTTTAGTTACACTATAATTTACAAGCATATTAATCATATCGACAAATTTCTGCCCAATTTCTCTAAAATCAACAAAGGTATAGTTCAAACATGACTTATAAATACACTATAACTATGTACATGACATAACTATATACGTGCACTATAACTGAATACATGAGATTGGATAATTTATAAAGAAAAGAAATTTATTTCTTACTATTTTGGTGTCTGGGAAGTCCCAGACTGAGGGGTTGTATCTGATAAGGGCCTTTTTGCTGGCGGGGACTCTCCGCAGAGCCCCAAGGCAGCGGAGGGCATCACAGGCAAGGGGGCTGGCTCACAGGAGACAGGCAAACTGACTTGATAAGTGACCTACTCTGATGCTAACAAGCCCACCGCCTCCGTAACTCACTAACCCTTCAATCTATGAATGATTAATCCATTGGTGAGGGTTCCGCCCTCATGACCCAATCACCGCCCAAAGATCCCACTCTCAGCACTGCCACCCTGGGGCCCGAGTTCCCAGCAAATGAACTTTGGGGCACACACTCAAGCCACAGCATGGGTCAAACTCCTTCAGCTTCTAAGTTTGACCTTGCAGTTGGCTAAGGCTCCCTTTTCACTGCCAAGGTCAAGTCTTCCCACACTACGCCACTTAACAGTACTTCAGCCAACAAATAGGTATTTCTGACATGCGAATTCTAGGCACTGTGCAAAGCACAGTGGAATCAAAGATTTATAAGACTAGGGCCAACTATACCGGAATGTGACAAATGTACTATGGTTATAAAGAAGCTACGAGTTTCCAAAAGAGATAGTAAATAATGCTTTAGGGTGTGTCAGGGACTGGCAACCGGCCAATCCACATACACCAGAGTGCAAATCAAGTATGTCACTGAGCATGATATTTAGTTCAGCTGACGTTTATTCACTTTTTTCTTATCAAGACTTTTTCAATAAAGGAAGTAATACACTGATTGACATTCTGGTACAAGCTCTTTATTTTGTTATAGACTGGCACTCTGGTAGCACTGACATAGAGAAGAGTAACTGAAGAGTAAGAAGAGTAGTAAGTCAGCCAACCTTTAAAACAGGCCTACAGGATAAAGAAGATTTTTTCCAAAGAGATCAAAGGATATGCTAATATACTCACATACTCTACTCCACGTTGCCTAGATTCCTTCATCTGTTAGCCACAGATGCTCCTGAAATGCTATTATGTCCACCAAGTCCCTGTTGACTGGCTGGACTCGACTTGTTTAAAAATTGAACTCCTTGGCTGGGCGTGGTAGCTCACGCCTGTAATCCCACCACTTTGAGAGGCCGAGGCAGATGGATCACTTGAGGTCAGAAGTTCGAGACCAGCCTGGCCAACATGATAAAACCCCATCTCTACTAAAAATACAAAAATTAGCTAGGTGTGGTGGGGCACGCCTGTAAGCCCAGCTACTTCAGAGGCTGAGGCAGGAGAATCACTTGAACCCAGGAGGTAGAGATTGCAGCCAGCTGAGATGGTGCCACTGCGCTCCAGGCTGGGCGACAGAGTGAGACTGTCTCTCATACACACACACAACTGAATTCCTATAATCGTCCCTTCACTGTCATCCAACTCTCTCCTTTGCACACAGTATTAATACCTGATATTTACATACTTCTACTGAATTACATTTATCGTCAGTCAGTTCTGAATCTTCATGCTTCTGCTGGTGCTGGTCTCCCCAGAGTTACCTCTAACAGCCTTAAAGGGCAGCGTCGAACTGTTTCACAGAACAGTACATCCGGCACATCACCACCCATGTCAGTGGATTTAAACTGAAACCTTAAACTAAGGTGAACTAAGTACAAATGTAACCTGCTGCTCACAGGAGCTGGAAGAACCTTTTTGATCTTTAAGGATAGTTCTTTTGTTTTCATCCCATGCTCTCTTTATTTTTTAATTCCAGGAAAAGAGCAGTTGACTTTAAAAGTGCAAGAGATCAACAGAGTAGTTCTGCACAGTCTTCTGCTTCAGGATGAAGTGGTCTAGTCTTTTCTGAGAAGGCAGTATAACAGATTACAGCTAGACATCAACTAAACTCTCTTCCCTAATACGTGTAAAACCACAAGTTACACAGTGATGATCAAATTTCTTTAATTACAGGAACGAATTCCCGATCTTCTCATTGTTAACAACAAGCAACTGTGTATCTTATCCACAGCTGTGTCCCCTTTGCCTGGTATATAGCAAGCAGTCACTCAACAATATTTTGTTGAAATAAATAAAGGACTAAATGCAGCAAAGTAGAATATACTTTGCAGTAAGAGTACCCACCCATATTGCCTGAACACCTAATAGGTGAAATGTAGTAGCCACCCTCAAAGAATAACATATAGTCCCATTATGACATATCTGTTATTTAAATGAAGAGTTCTTATTAGGTCTGCCTAAAACTACATTCAGTGATAGTCTTAGATAATATGGCTTACAGTCCCATTCCCTAGCTCCACCTTTATAAGAGAATTCAATGAATTTAACGACATTAGTAAGCCTTGCCACAGCAAAATAGTTATTTCACCAGTTCTGAACTCTACTTACTTCCTTCTTTCTTCCCTCCACCGTGCAATTTCTTCTGGAGTGTCTAACTTGATTTTCTTCATGCCAGGAGCATGCATCTAGGGGAAAAAAGCGCAGTATCATACGCTTTTGACTAAATTGGAGACTTTATTTCTACAAGTAAACTTATGTTGGATACAATATTAAAACTAAGTAAGCAGGTTTTATCTAACTGTATTATAACTTTTCCTTTAAAGGAAAAAGAAGAATCTGTCATGGATTTAATTGGTGCTATTAATAGGGGGGAAGAGGGTAACATAATTTTGATTACAAAGTAGATATGTCACCCATTTTCTCAAATGACATTAAACACCCAAATGAATGACTTACCAACCAAAACCTAGGGAGGCCACTAAAGATATGAGCAGACGTGACAATCGGTAGCAGCATGGTATAGTAAAGCAGGACAGAATTTGGAGTCGAGAAACTGAAGTCCAAGAATCAGTTCTCAGGCCTTGGGCAAATCGTTTTTTAAAATATTTCAAATGGGGCCAATATAAACAACCACAGTTGTTTGTGAGGACAAAATTGAAGAAATGATGTCAAAATCCTTACAAAACACTCCATGAATGTTACTTATTAGGTATATAAATAACAGCTGTGAAGCTAACAGATCAATAAAATAAAAAGCATGTATTTAAAAATAGAACAAAAAGAAACAGAACATACATTTCTCCAATGAAACTGGACAATCTTCTCGTGTGCAGTAAAAGAGCAATCTACTTCAGGGCACTATAAGAGTTTAAAAAAAAAAGAAAACTGTGTAATAAATGTTTTCCATGTTAGATTTACCCCACTATACATACACAAACATACTCTGGCTATATTACATAGTTATCCCATCTATATGATATTATCTCTGCATACTTATGTCAGTGGCAAAACAAAGGTTACTCCAAAACAGGGCTGCTTTTAGGCAAAGGAATGACACCCTCAGAGTACATGGCACAATAATATATCTCATTTACTTCTCCACTCAAGTGAAAGCATACATCAGTAAAACAGCAAAATGTTCTTAATTCCTAAAGTTGAGGGGCAGTCCCAAAAACAGAAAGAGAACCTTTCCAAACCAAAGACTTCGTTTTTAACTCTTTAAACATTTTGGTTAAAATTTTCTAAAGTACTTAAGAAGGTGTGGACCAGCCATTGCGGGTGATAGGCACAGCCACATTACACAGCATGGTTTAATAGTTAAGGGCAGGCTTAAAGGGGAAAGAACTCATTAAGATGCACAAGGAAACTGGAGGGGAGGACAACTTCTTCCTGAGCAGTAGAGGTACGCACATACGAAAAGCTGCCAGAGCGCCCTTCTTTGCTGCCACCCTACCTCGTCCCTGAAGCAGTGGGATCCCCACTTTCAAACCCTAGGGTCACTGCCCTCAACTGTCAAGTCATCAAACTATATTTCTTTGGAAACCATAAACTTTAAAGGAAAACAAGCTTGGATTTGCTACCAAATATACAGACAGAAGAAGGCCACTTCGCTATATCAATTTCAGGACAACCAAGAAAACCTACTTTTGTATGTTCAGACATGTGTTTGTCATACTTTTCTTGATTTTTAAAACCACGATCACAGGTATCACAAAAAAAGTGAAAAACTGGTTCCTTTCTTTTCTGCAAACACAAACAGAGAGGAATTAGGCTTTTGGTGAAAAATCTCTAATCAATAAAAACACAAGTATCTTTCTAATAATACATATTTTGATTTTTCCAATAACCCTTTCATGTGGGAGAAACTTGTGAGTATATTTCCAATGAAGAGATTATTTTATGTCTTTCTTTCATTTTATTTTTAACAAATATATTAGTAAAACCCAGGCATAATTTTAATTTTTTTAATCCAAATAGTGCTAATATAAATTATGAGCAGATTGCAGATTGGTTAGCTAACTCAGTACAGAATATGTTGAAATGACCTGAAAATAGAGTAAAAACAGCAACTCATCCTTTAAAAAAAATAACTACAGATAACCATTGAACAACACAGGTTTGAACTGCAAGGGTCCACTTATAAAAGGATTTTTTCAACAAATACATTGGAAAATTTGTCTGGAGATCTGTGGCAATTTGGAAAAACAGAAACCACACAGCCTTAGAAATATCAAAACAATTGAGAAACAGGTAAGTATGTCATTAAAGTATAAAATACATGTAGACACCGTTCTATCCAACTATTTATGTTATTGGTAAGACTTCCAGTCAGCAGTAGGCCATTAGTAGTTAAGTTTTAGAGGAGTCAAAAGTTACACACAAACTTTTGACTGCACCCCTAACTACTGTTTTCTCAGGTATCGACTACATGGCCAGGTGTAGCGGCTCAC